ACCTTCAGCCCAAGATCAATTGGAGGTCGTGAGCTTGCAACGTTCTTGATGCTCGTTGATGGGAATGCACCTGATCAATTGCTAATTAACTTGCGCACCTGAATGATTAAGCTGACTCCGGTTGCGTACTGTTGCTTTATGAATGAGGGGAGGAGGGGGAGGGGGAATGGGAGGGGGGAGGTTTCGTGGGTGTTTTTGGGGGTTTATGTCTCGAGGGGTATGTTCTAGGTAAATGTTATGGAGGCGCATACGCACGTACAGACACATGCATACACACACACACATACACACACACACACACACACACACACACACACACATATAATATATATATATATATATATATAATATATATATATATATATATATATATATATATATATATATATATATATATATATATATGTATGTTGTCCCGTGAACGTCATTATTCATGTGCACTCATGTGTGTGTCTATCCGAGCACACATGGATGAGTCGCACATTTTTCGCAGGACACACCTTGAATTTCACGTATTTTGGAATTTATCAGCAACACTCAACACCGCTCGTTCTACAGGGGTTTCATCTATAACATTCTCTTTTATCCCAGGGAGTCTCGCCATTGCATGCATATAATTCATGAACTTACCCCATAAAATCCGGGAATTTCCCCTAAATCTGCTCGGGACTTCCCCTACCTTCCTTCCCTTTTCTCCCCTTCTCTCGCGTGATATTGGTAAATGTCGTGAAATAGTAGGCTTCATCTCTCCCTCTCCCCCCCCCTCTTTCTCTCTCTCTCTCCCACACACCCCCACACCCTCACCTACTCCCTCGCTTCATCTTCTTCCTCCTCCCTCTTTCCTTCCTTCTCTTTCTCCCTCCTTCCCTTCCCTCCCTTTCTTTCTCCCTCCTTTCCTTCCCTCCCCCTTTATTTCATATTCCTTCTTACCTTTTCCCTCCTTCCGTGTTCACTGTCATAAGGTCATAAGGGAGATGATAGAGGAATGATGGAAAGAGAAGGAAAGACAAGAAAGAAAAGAAAAAGAAATAGAAAAATTAAGAATAAAAAAAAATAATAATAAAAAAATAAAAACTCCAACCGAAAAAAATGAAAACAAAAAAATCCCACCAAAATGTAAGAAAATAAAAGACCAGATGGTGTTAAAGATATTTTTTAATCAAATAAAAAAGAAAAAAGCAAGAAAAATCGAGAAGAGAACCAAAGAAAGCCATTAAGAGCGAAAAGAGGAGGTCTATGCCGTTCAAAAGTCCCATATGTTTCGCAAGAGGATGATACACGAGTCAAAATCCGAACACTATAAATGGATTTCCTCCGACTGGCATCTCTATTTCTCAGTCTCTCTCCCGGGTTGATTATTATCATGCAAAGTGCTCTTTCTTGCACTGGGGGAGATATATATATTGTTGTTGTTTTTTAAGTATTTGTTGGTTTGTATTTTTTTGTTGTTGTTCCTTTTTTTATTCTTGTTCTCATTCTTATTCTTGTTCTTATTCTTATTACTAATCGGTTTTACTGTTAAGAACATTATTATGATCACTATCATCATTGTTTTTGTTATCTTAATATCATTAAATCGTTAACGACAACAACAATAACAACAACAACAACAACAACAACAACAACAACAACATTACTAACTACTACTACTACTACTATTACTGCTGCTGCTGCTACTACTATTACTACTACTACTACTACTACTACTACTACTTCTGCTACTTGTACTACTTTAGCTACTACTAATACTACTTCTATTACTACTTTTACTACTACTACTGCTACTACTATTACTACTGCAGCTACTACTACTACTACTACTACTATTATTACTACTACTACCGGTACTACTGCTGCTGCTGTTACTACTACTACTCCTTTGTCTTCTGCTATTACAGCTTCCCCCTTCCTCCTTCTCCTTTCCTCCTTTCCTTCCTCCCCCCCTCTCCCCCACCTTCCCCTCCTCCACTTCCTCTTCCTCTTTTCCATACAGCGAAGGCAACGTCAGTTACCGTTGTCTATCGTATTCCAGGCTCCCAGAGGCGGCCACTAATAGCTTCTTTGTGCTGTTGTGTCTGATGTTATTTATAGAAACAGTTCCCTTTGCCTTTGCTTCGGTCGGTGTGTTTTCCTTTTTTTTTCTTTCTTTTTTCTTTTTTTTCTTTATGTCAGGAATTGCCTCTGTCTTGGATCCCTTTGTTTTTTTTTATTTCTTTGTTTATTTATTTGTTTGGTAGTGTGTCTCTGTCTTTGTGTCTGGCTGTCTGTCTGTCTCTGTCTCTCTTTCTCTTTCTCTTTCTCTCTCTCTTTCTCTCTCTCTCTCTCTCCTCTCTCTCTCTCTCTCTCTCTCTCTCTCTCTCTCTTCTCTCTCTCTATCTCTCTCTCTCTCTCTCTCTCTCTCTCTCTCTCTCTCCTCTCTCTCTCTCTCTCTCTCTCTCTCTCTCTCTCTCTCTCTCTCCTCTCTCTCTCTCTCTCTCTCTCTCTCTCTCTCTCTCTCTCT